GGCACTCAGAGCCCTCTCTATGGGCACACATGCCATCACCCCAGCCAGGCCCAGACCATCATTAAAGTGTCGAATTCCCTTCCAAATAATTTTAAGTAAATGAAAGCATTTGGGATTCCTTTCCTTACTTTGTTTGGATCATCTTAAGTTAATGTATGAGTTGTTTTTTCGAAAGTAAAACCTCAGTATTCAGGTTCAATTGACGTGTGGGCACTTTGCAATAAATAAGTGGGTTTTGGGTCGCAGTTTGGACACTCGGTCTCTAAAAGGTTCACCATCACTGGTTTAGACTGACCTGGAAGGGATAACTGGCACTGAGCCAATGGGGAATCAGCCAGGGGAAAGTATCTTCTATTGTGATACAGATTGGTTGTTTGTTTTCAGGTGACTTCCTTTCTAGGGGCCGAGAAGAAGGACAGATTCTCCATTATCTCTGTGTTAGTGTGTGACTATATTTTGAGAAGTAAGCAGCAGAAAATGTAGCTGTTAGATGTTCTGTTATTTTGCAGGTTCCCTGTATACCTTTTACCCTTAGAAATAAAGGTTTTTAAAAGCAAAGAAATATCTTCTTTCCAATAGAGCTTTCCAATCCATTGACACTCTGAGTAATTTAAATACTTTTGACTATTTTTATGACAATGATAAGAGCTGTTCTTGAAAGGGCAGCTTCTGTCAGAGCTCTCTCAGCCCCACCTACCTCACAGGGGGTGCCTGTTGTGGGGAGGGGAAGGGAAAGGAGTTTGGAAGCCACTCTGAGACTCCTTTGGGTGGTGAAGGGCCACGGGGTATGAATCCAATCTCCTCCTCCTCCTCTTCTTCTTCTTCTTCTTCTTCTTCTTCTTCTTCTTCTTCTTCTTCTTCTTCTTCTTCTTCTCTCTACATTTTGGACAATTCACAGACCCGACCGTCTCTTTCATGGCGATGCCAGAAGGAAACGGGAAGCCCTGCCCATCTATCATGACTTGATTCAAGCAGAGCTGTAAATCGAAGCCTGTGTTAGGAGGGCCAGCCCTGGTTCACTACCTGTCGTGGGATCTTTTTAAGTGACACGGAACTCTTCGTCAGGCTGGATGCTTCAAAAAATGAAAAGAATGAAATGTTGTTAGCTGCCTTGAGCCGGTTCTGTGGCAAGGCGGGATAAAAATGCAGTGGAATATGCACATGTAGGATTGCTGGAACAGAGAAGTGTACATTAAGGGTGTAAAGGTACCGGCTGGACATTAGGGTTTTTTTTAATAGTCAGAGGCTGCGGTCACATGGAGCATTAGCCACGCTACAGAGAGAGAAGATAGGCGGATTTTCCGGGTGCGATCACACCGCAACATCTGGGAAGCGTAGAGCTCCCGTGGCGAACCCGAGGCTTCCCGCTGAAGATGCGGAGTTAAAAACTAGTACCTCCAAGATACTAGTTTCCGGAAACCACGGGGCAAGGGCTGGCGTCTGATCGCATTTCGGTGGTGGTATCCGGCGCCCGCCCATGTCCCTTCGCAAACAGGGTTCCCCCCCCCCAAGTCTCCACAAGATGCGCACAAGCACCCAACGGCGCATGCACACAAAGAGGAAAGTGAAAGTGCCGTTTCGGCTTAAAAAAAAATTAAAAGACCCCGTTTGTCACGGCAGCGGCGCCTAGCCATTGCTGGTGAGATTGCGCCGCGGCGCTTCTTTGCCGCGCTGCAGGATCGTCGTGTGATCGCCACCCTCGTTTACCCGCCGGCACCGAGGGACAGACCCGTGGTGTGCCATCGGCGTGTCTGATCGCGGATCAAACTGCGGCGGGGCAATTAGCCACGCCTCCCCCCCCCCCCAATATCCGGCCCGTGTGACCGGGGCCAGAGTTGTGCAAGAGTGGAATCAGCTGCCTGGGGAGGTGGTGAGATCCCCCTCCCTGGCCATCTCCAAGCAGCAGCTGGATGAACCCTTCTCAGGGATGCTCAAAGCAGATCCTGCACTGAGCAGGGGGTTGGACTAGATGGCTTCTAGGGCCCCTTCCAGCGCTGTGATTCTGTGGTTCTAAGTAATGACGCGGGGCTTTTTTCCCCTGGGGGAATGCACTGGAATGGAGTTCCAGAACCTCTTCAACAAAATTCTTTTAAGAAAACGTTTTAAACTCCATGAGTTTTCAGTATACAGATTGAAAACTTCATTTCCCTCTTGAAAGTTCTGGCACCCCTTTTTCCAAGGAAAAAAGAAAAGAAAAGCCCTGGTAATGAGACTTTTCCTTTGGAAGCCCCCAAGGGCACCGTTCTGGACCTGAAGCCTCTCCCCGGATCCACACCGCTCTCTCAAGATCTGCTGCTCTCCAGGGCTTCTCCTGGGCATGTCGCCAGCTCGCTGCTAGACAGATGCAGCCGGTGGGGATTCATCCATTACTCAGACAATGCCTCCCTCAAGGGAGTCTCCGGATGCAATAAAACCACCCTTGCGGCCTCTACAGCTACCGGAGGGAGCTCTGGGCAAGCGGCAGAACTATCAGCCGGGGGACTGGATGGGAGAAGAAACCCTGGCTCACCTGCCTCCACTCTCAGCTCAAAGGGTAAGGAGCAGAACACCTTAGAGCAGTGGTGGCGAACCTAGGGCACAGGTGCCAGAGGTGGCACTCAGAGCCCTCTCCGTGGGCAGGCGTGCCATCGCCCCAGCCAGGCCCAGACCATCATTAAAGTGTCGAATTCTCTGCCAAATAATTTTAAGTAAATGAAAGCATCTGGGATTGCTTTCCTTACTTTGTTTGGATCATCTTAAGTTAATGTATGGGTTGTTTTTTCTAAAGTAAAACCTCAGTATTCAGGGACCTTCTGCATGCCAGAGAGATGCTCGACCGCTGAGCCACAGCCTCTCCCTTATCGTGTATGCGTGCTTCTCATTTTTATTACCCAGATGTAGAGCTCTGCGCTTGCCTCTGCATCTTATTCACATCTGCCTGCTTCCCTCACCATGTCTGAAAGGCCCTTTTCCAGGATCGTTCAAGAGCCACAGAATTCAGAAGGGGGGTGGTGCTTTCATCTCCCTTTTCCCCCTGTTGCATCTAAAAGTAAAGAGGCTTAAACAGGTCCTACAAAATATTATGTACCTGGCATGAAGTCATGTAGATCATAGAATCATAGGATGTTAGAGTTGGAAGGGACCTTGCAGGTCATCTAGTCCAACCCCCTGCACTCTGCAGGAACACAGCCGAAAGACAGCCCTACACACCTACAACATACCCAAAAGATGGTCGTCCAGCCTCCGCTTGAAAACATCCAGCGAAAGAGCATCCACCCCATCCCGAGGCAGACTGTTCCACTGCTCAACCACTCTATCAGTTAGGAAGTCTCTCCTGATATTTAGCCGGTAACGACTCCCTTGTCATTTCCACCCATTAGAGCTTGTCAACATCCTTCCTAAAATGTGGTGCCCAAAACTGGACACAGGACTCCAGGTGAGGCCTGACCATAGCAGAATAGAGTGGAACCACCACCTCCCGTGATCTGGACACTATGCTTCTGTTACTGCATCCTAAGATTGCATTAGCTTTCTTCGCAGTCACATCTCACTGCAGGCTCATGTTTAGCTTGTGATCAACCAGAACACCCAGATCCCTTTCACAGGTGCTGCTGTCAAGCCAAGTCCCTCCCATTCTATATCTGTCCCTTTGTTTTTTTTGTACCTAAATGTAGGACTTTGCACTTATCTCTATTGAAATTCATTTTATTTGTCTCTGCCCACTGTTCCAGCCTATCTAGATCATCTTGAATCCTGACCCTGTCTTCTTCAGAATTACCAATCCCACCTAGCTCCGTGTCATCTGCAAATTTGATAAGCATTTCTAACCTGTGTTAGTATTTACTAATATATGTAATGTGTGCTAATATTTATGCTTGGGCCGCATAAATGTCCTTTCCCCCCCTATCCTCTTTCCACTGGCTGTTCGCCCCCGGCATCTGCAGATGTCATCTTTAAAGTGCTCAACAAATATCCATCCATCCATCCATCCATCCATCCATCCATCCATCCATCCATCTATCTACCTATCTATCCATCCATCTATCTTCTATCTTTCTATCATCCATCTATCATCCATCAATCATCCATCTATCATCTATCTATCTATCATCTATCTATCTATCTATCTATCTATCTATCTATCTATCTATCTATCTATCTATCTCTATCTATCTATCTATCTATCTATCTATCTATCTATCTATCTATCTATCATCTATCTCTATCTATCTCTATATCTATCTATCTATCATCTATCTATCTATCTATCATCTATCTATCTATCATCTGTCTGTCTGTCTGTCTATCAATCCATCCATCCTCTGGAAAATAATGTCCATATATGTTTGAAATCAGCACCCATTCTTGCATATTTCCAATATACTTCACGTTAGATTTATAATTCTGTTCAAATTCTGAGAGATAAGATTTCACTTCTGAATAATTTTCATCTGTGCCTCTTTTACGGTGGAAATCGCCATCAAGTCACAGCCGACGTCTGGCAACCCGGAGGGTTTTGAAGGCAAGAGACGTTCAGAGGTGTCCAGCCATGGCCTGCCTCTGCCTTGCAACCCCAGACTTCCTTGGTGGCCGCCCACCCAAGTACTAATTAGGAGCAGCCCTGCTTAGCTTCGGAGATCTGAATCAGGCTAGCCCTGGCCGTCCAGGTCTGAAGTGCCTCTTTTAGGTTGTAGACATTTAAAAAAAAACCAAATAGACCTAGAGTTTTAAAAGCTAGATTCCATTCTCCCATTTTTAGCTACAAACTGAAATATTTCTGTCACGGTTGCTTGCAGGGATCCATCTCCAGTAAGATTATTACACATTAAGTTCCTCTGAATTTTTCCTCTAGATGCATCTGTCATGGCTCAGGTGGGGTGTCACCTGATGCTGCCACCACTCTGGTTCCAGAGCAACCTCCCAAGACCTTCTGATCTCCCTTTTGGCCAAATAATAGGCATGAGGACCAGGCAGAGTGAACAGTGAAAATAGTTTATTGTATAAGAGGTCGAACAAACAAGATGCAGAAATATAACAGTAAGTGGGTGAAAATAAAATAAATCAAATTCCCCAACGCGTCTAAATATATACTGTCCCCAGCTCACTATTCCAAGTGACACTAGACTACTCACCCTTCCCTCAGGATGAGGGTCTCTCCCCTGCAGCAGCCTTTCTTCTGGCTCTGCCGTCTGGAAGAAAGAACAGCTTTTCCTGCTGCACCAGATCTTTTATTCCAAGCCCTCCTCTTTTCGTATTGGTCAATTTTGCTCCAAAACCTCTCAAAGGTAGGCTTACCAAGTCCCCCCGGGGGGCAGGTAAACCCCCGCAAAGGTCCATCAGAGGCTATTAGCCGCAAGGTATTGATAGGGACTCTCGGTCTGGGGCAAAGGATGCTCTGTACTTGTCGTGCTTGGGGGGGGGGGGCAACAGTGGGAGGGATCCTACTGTCCTGGCCCCACTGCTGGCCCTCCTGATGGCACCTGGTATTTTTGGCCACTGTGTGACACAGAGTGTTGGACTGGATGGGCCATTTGGCCTGATCGAATATTGGCTTCTTTTATGTTCTTAACCACTGTGAATCTATGAAATTATTGATACTAGCACTTTATTCTATTTATGGTTTTGGCACTGTTTAATTGTTATATGTTGTTCCTAATCTATTTTAGGTGTACTGTAAACACTTCTAGGTGTTTTATGTAAACCGCCCTGAGCCAGCTTTGGCCGGGAGGGGGGTTTGGAAATCTAATAAATTAAATCAAAATCAAATCATATAGGAAGACAACAGCTGTGTCTTCAACTTTTTGGAAGGCAACGGCTGTGATAAAGTTATCACAGCCATTATCTTCCAAAAATTGCCCCAGGGGTTATCTATAGGCTTCTGACCATGGGCAAAGACTTCTGACCATGAGTGCATGCTGGGATTTCACTATTTTCATCCTCCAGAACGACTGACCACCACCACCTGGGAGGCAGCCTCTGAAAGCCTGTGTGATGCAGGGGCCAGCGAGACAGGTTAGGCTCTGGGAGACCCAGGTTCAAGTCTCCCCTTCTGCCACGGAAGCCATCTGGTGACCTTGGGCCAGTCACAGACTCTCAGCCTGACCTACCTCTCAGGGCTGTTTTGAGACTATAATGCTGAATGGGAGGAAAGTGGGTATAATTTCCCCTCAATTTCCAGGGCTGGCTTTGTGGGGCAGAACAGGTATCTTCTGATGGTTTGATGGGTTGGAGTCCAAGTCTTACGAGGAAAGGCTGAAAGAGTTGGGTCTGTTTAGCCTGGGAAAGAGAAGGCTTAGAGGGGACATGACTGCAGTCTTCAAATATTCAAAGGGCTGTCTTGTAGAAGATGGAGCGGATCTATTCTCTCTTGCTCCAGATTGCAAGACTAGATCTAGTGGGTGGAAATTACAAGGGAGTCATTACCAGCTAAATATCAGGAGAAACTTCCTAACTGTAAGAGTGGTCGAGCAGTGGAACAGACTGCCTCGGGAGGTGGTGGAGGCTCCTTTGCTGGACGTTTTCAAGTGGAGGCTGGACGACCATCTTTCGGGTATGTTGTAGGACTCTCTTCCGGCTCTGCTCCTGCAGAGTGCAGGGGGGGTTGGACTAGATGACCTGCAAGGTCCCTTCCAACTCTAACATTCTATGATTCTGTGCTCTGTGTACAGAGCTTATTGATTAGGGCTGAAGTCTACATGGTGTTGACTGATACATGATTTGCTGTTGGGTCCCTGCATTGCACTGAAAGCGCCATTGTTTTTCCTGTCCAGAAGCTTGTGTCTCCAGCCTACAACGAGATCCCATCTGGATCATGTCGCCACTTAGCAACAGCAGTGGCCCGGTCTTCCTGTTGATGGGATTTCCAGGGCTGGAGATGTACCACCCCTGGATCTCCATCCCCTTCTGTTCCATCTACCTCATGGCACTGCTGGGGAACAGCGCCATCCTCGTGGTCATCAGGACCAACCGAAGCCTTCACGAGCCCATGTATGTCTTCCTTTCCATGCTGGCCCTGACCGACCTGGGCTTGTCTCTCTCCACGTTGCCCACAGTGTTGGGCCTCTTCTGGTTCAACATCCGGGAGATCGACTTCACCGCCTGTGCTGCCCAGCTCTTCTTCATTCACACCTTCTCGTTCATGGAATCCTCAGTGCTCTTGGCCATGGCCTTTGACCGCTACGTCGCCATCTGCAGCCCGCTGCGGTATACCAGCATCCTGACAAATCCGGTGTTGGTCAAGATTGGCCTGGCCATTGCTGTAAGGAGTTCAGCCATTGTGCTCCCCACACCCTGGCTGCTCAGGAGATACAGGTACTGCAAGAGGAACTTGCTTTCCCATTCGTTTTGCCTGCACCAAGATGTCCTGAAGCTCTCGTGCTCCGACTCCAGGGTCAACAGCATCTACGGCTTGTGCGTCGTCCTCTCCACGTTGGTGATCGACTCTTTGCTCATCCTGCTGTCCTATGTGAAGATCATCAGGACCGTCACGGCCATCGCCTCCAGGGAAGAACGGTCCAAGGCGTTCAACACGTGTGTCTCCCATATCTGCGTTGTCTTGATCTTCTTTATTCCTGTGATTGGGGTGTCCATGGTGCACCGTTTTGCAAGGCACAGCTCCCCCATTGTCCATATCCTCATGGCTGACGTGTATCTCCTTATTCCTCCTGTCCTCAACCCCATTGTGTATAGCATAAAGACCCAGCCCATCCGCAAGGGGGTCCTGTGGGTATTTGGCAGGAGAAGGAACACCCATTTCCGGTGAGTTTGACCCTCTTGGTTTCCATGGGCAAATCTCAGGCCAGGCTCCAATGAATCCCTTGCTCGAAAGCCAGTCGAGTCCGACTCTAGGGTTGCGGTGCTCATCTCCGTTTCAAAGCCGAAGAGCCAGCGCTGTCCGAAGACGTTTCCGTGGTCATGTGGCCGGCATGACTAAACACTAAGGTGCACGGAACGCTGTTACCTTCCCACCGAAGTGGTACCTATTTATCTACTTGCAATGTCTTGCTTTCGAACTGCTCGGTTGGCAGGAGCTGGAACTAGAGATGGGAGCTCACTTCGTCATGCGGCAACTCGGGTCTCTACCTACCCACAAAAACTTGTGGGCAATCAATGAAATTGTTGAGCAGTCAGGTTAGAACTGATAAAAGGAAGTCCTTCTTCACCCAAAGAGTGATGAACACGTGGAATTCACTGCCACAGGTGGTGGTGGCGGCTACAAGCACGGACGGCTTCAAGAGGGAATTAGATAAGCATATGGAGCAGAGGTCCATCAATGGCTATTAGCCACAAGTTATAGATAGGGACTCTGGAGCAGGTGATGCTCTGTCTTCTTGGTACTTGGGGGGGGGTCAACAGTGGGAGGGCTTGTAGTGTCCTGGCCCCACTGGTGGACCTCCTGATGGCACCTGGTGTTTTTGGCCACTGTGCGACAGAGTGTTGGACTAGATGGGTCATTGGCCTGATTCAACACTGGCTTCTCTTGTGTTCTTATCTTCCTTCCTTCCTTCCTTCCTTCCTTCCTTCCTTCCTTCCTTCCTCTCTATTTTGTTTTTTGACCATTCACAAATAAAATGTCAGCTCGAACAACAGTCAAAACATTCCAGCAATGGCAACTCTTGAAGGAAAATGGAGTGATTTCACATTGCTGATGGAGTTGTATTTCCTGTAGGGGTAACTGTGATCCCTTGTGTGTGTTTTTTCTGCAGCAGTAATGCCGGGCCAAGGATACCCCTTGTCTCTTAATTCAGTCAGTGAGACTCAGCATCTGGGGATGGTCCCAATCCTGGACTTGATTTGTCCCCACCTCCAGTCTCCATTGCCCTACGAGGCGGTAGAGTTCCTGGGCGATACTTACCATGGCAAGCCAAGGTATGGCAATAGTCCCAGAAGTCCCGCCTAGCAGGGAGGAAGGCAATGGCCAAGGCTGCGGTAGCACCACAGCCCCGGAAGGGTTAGGCAACCAGCAGGAGGGAAGAAGAAGAAGAGGAGGAGGAGGAGGAGGAGATTGGATTTATACCCCGCCCTTCACTACCCAAAGGAGTCTCAGAGCGGCTTACAAACTCCTTCCCCTCCCCCTCCCCACAACAGACACCCTCCTGTGAGGCGGGTGGGGCTGAGAGAGCTCTTGACAGAAACAGCTCTTTTTCAAGGACAGCTCTGAGAGAACTTGTGACTGGCCCAAGGTCATCCAGCCAGGTGCAAGCGGAGGAGGAGCGGGGAATCGAACCCGGCTCTCCCAGGTTAGAGTCTGCGCACTTAAGTACTGCACCAAACTGGAGATGGTAGCGGGACTCTTCTGAACTTCCAGATCAACATGAACATGGCTTATACAAGACTGTTTCTTGATATAGCCCATTCACTAGGATCTAGAATAGCAGCTACAAGGCTAAAAAGCCGACATGGGGGCTTCTAAAAAGAAAATGACAACGTCCTCCACTCTACGGCAAATGACCCCAACGTAGACTAGAAGAAGAAGAGATTGGATTCATACCCCATGGCCCTTCACTACCCGAAGGGGTCTCAGAGCGCCTTACAAACTCCTTTCCCTTCTCCTCCCCACAACAGACAGACACCCTGTGAGGTAGGTGGGGGCTGAGAGAGCTCTTGACAGAAATGGCCCTTTTTCAAGGACAGCTCTTGTCAGGACTACGGCTTGCCCAAGGCCATCCAGCCAGGTGCAAGTGGAGGAGTGGGGAATCAAACCCGGTTCTCCCAGATTAGAGTCTGCGCATTTAACCACTACACCAAACTGTCTCCAAACAAAGAGCCAAACACCAAACACCAAACAAAGAGCTGGTGGCATCGGTGCCTGTGGGGAAAGGGTGGGCCCAGGGGAGGCACCTGCAGGCTAGATGTGGGGGGGGGATTCCAACGCAGCTGGCCTCCTGGGCTAGACAACTGGAGCCCGGCAGGATATCCAAGGAGGACCAACCAGGGGGAAAGACAGGAGGAAGGAACTCATTCAGCCCTTCTCCAAGAGACCAGCTCACGGGGAGGGCAGGAGACTGGGGGAGGCTGGGGAAAAGGCGGAGCCAAACCCAACCCAGACCCGATGGTGGATGGGTGGGTGGCAGCTGGCCCAGCCAGGGGGGAGCTTCACAGCCTGCTGGGCCCCCCTCTGTACCGCAAACGTAGCTCGTGTGCTCCCAAGCCCAAAAAAGAACAACACGAGTAAAGTACCAGTGAGGAGGAAAAATTCTTTGTATTTATTGCACGGAATACGGAAAACAGAGCTGGGCAACAGGGGGCTGCCAAAAACAACTGCTTTCTGAATAATACAAGGAAGAACATAAGGTTTTATACCCAAATGACTTATGCAAAAAGATAACATACAGGGATCTTCATCGGCACAAACAATAAGGCACCATTTTAGTCAGCATACATTCGTTGGTCGGTTCCAATAAAAGGTGTCGCCAGAGGTCATTTCGGGGGGGTCGTGGGGGATCGCAGTTCCCCCGGGTGAGGTACGGGGGGCGGGGCACATGACGAAGCCCCGCCCCCTGCTTCCGGCCACCCCGCTTCCGGCCCTCATTCAGCCAGGTGGAGGCAGGAGAAGAGGGAGGGTAAGTTGCTTCCTCCCTGCCTCTCCCCACCCCTGCCTGCCTGGGGCCAGAGGGGGCCTTCGCAGGGCTTCCTTGCACTCCTGCCGGCCTTGCAGGTCCGCCGCCGGGCCCCTCATGGGGCTCGGCAGTGGAGCTGCAAGGCCGCCGCCGGCGGCCGGGACCGTTGGGGGCGGGGTGTGTGGCCTTATGGCACACTTCCGGTGATGTCAGGGGGTGTGGCCTCATGACACACTTCCAGTGATGTCAGTGGGTGTGGCATATGCTAATGAGTTATGCTAATGAGTTCCCCTAGCTCTTTTTCTATGAAACGACCCCTGGGTGTTGCTATATTATACCCTAATATAAATATAAAATGTCTTAGCCAATATTCTATTGTTTGTTCTACTTAAGACAAAGAGGTCTTCAACTTTGACGAAGGATCCTTCATACCCAAGCGAAAAGGGTTGTTTTCAGATAAGGAGCATAGGACCCTCTTGACACAGACTCTCCAAGACCTTGTATGAAAAGTAGAGGCACGTGAACCTTACACTACAAGCAAGACTTGGGTAAATACATTCATTGTCTAACTCATCTTTCCCTTGTCCCAGTAGTACCATAGTCAAAGTTCATTAAGGTAGCCAGACTTCTAAACCACTCTTCCAGCCAAGAGCTCTGATAAGAAAATAATGTTTACTTTCTGTGAGAGTTAGAACATAAGAACATAAGAGAAATCAATGTCGGATCAGGCCAATGGCCCATCTAGTCCAACTCTAGAAAGCTGGATTAGAAGGAAGGCTGAGCGCCAAATAATAGATGCTTTCGTATTATGGTGCTGGAGAAGACTCTTGAGAGTCCCTCCTTGGACTGCAAGAAGATCAAATTGGTCAATCTTCAAAGAAATTGACCCTGACTGTTCCCTGGAAGGCCAGAGACTGAAGCTGAAGCTCAAATACTTTGGCCACCCAATGAGAAGGGAGCGTTCACTGGAGAAGATCCTGATGCTGGGAAAGACTGAAGGTCAAAGAAGAAGTGGACGGCAAAGGATGAGATGGTTAGACGGTGTGTTATCAATGCAATGAACATTACATTGAGCAAATTCTGGAGCACGACGGAAGACAGGAGGGCCTGGCGTGATGGGGTCACGAAGAGTCGGACTCGACTGTGGGACTGAATAACAACAACAACAAGTGTTGTGTCCACTGACCGCCACCTGAGGTCAGCACACACACCTGAGCTTCAGTCCTGGACAACAATGGGGACTAGGATCCTAGCCCTACACTGAGGAACCAATGGGAACCATGGCGGGAGATTCAAACCCACCAATGGTTCCCATTGGTTCCTCAGTGTAGGGCTAGGATCCTAGTCCCCATTGTTGTCCAGGACTGAAGCTCAGGTGTGTGTGCTGACCTCAGGTGGCGGTCAGTGGACACAACACTTGTTGTTGTTGTTATTCAGTCCCACAGTCGAGTCCGACTCTTCGTGACCCCATCACGCCAGGCCCTCCTGTCTTCCGTCGTGCTCCAGAATTTGCTCAATGTAATGTTCATTGCATTGATAACACACCGTCTAACCATCTGCTAGCAGAAACTGCTGCACCTACAGAAAGAACAGGTTATTGAATACTTGAGTCTCAGAGCAGCTGACAAACTCCTTTCCCTTCCCCTCCCCACAACAGACACCGTGTGAGGTCAGTGGGGCTGAGAGAGCTCTTTCCAGAACTGTCCCTGAGAGAACAGCTCTGAGAGAACAATGGGTTGCCCAAGGTCATCCAGCAGCTGCAAGTGGAGGAGTGGGGACTCAAACCTGTTTCTCCTAGATTACAGTCCGCGCACTTAACCACTACACCAAACTCGCTCTCCAGTCTTGATAGGCTGATGGTCTGATAAGGCAGCTTCCTGTGCTCATCCCCACCACTTGAGATACATCGCAAGGAAATCAGCAATCTCAGGAGTTAAACTCAAGTGAAAACAGGCACACTAAGATAGTGAAGCTCAATTCAGAACCACGTTTCAGTCTCCAAAGAGTAAGATCAGAATATGGAACATCTTCTTCAGCAAACTGGGCTAAACCCGAACACACTGACAACAAAATAGAAATCTTTCACGGAATGACAAGTTGGGATAGACCACTCAAGCTGGCTGTTCTAATTAGACAAGATCAACAACAGAAGACAAGACAAGATCAACAACAAAAAAACAAAAAGGGGGAAAGTTGGAAATTCCCCCCCAAAGTACACCAAACGCTGCTCTGACTACAGTGCTAACACAGATCATGGGGGGCAATCTTGAAGGATGGAAGTCGGCCGATGCCCGCTCCTTCGAGAGATTCATTGCCAGGGCTGGTTGTTCACTGGCTTAGCCCCAATACAGAATTAGGCTGCAGAATCCTGACTTGAGAAGAACACAGACATGGTCAAGATGTTGGTTCTAAGAGGCTTCCCTTGACCCTTTGTCCTTCCAGAACGTTTTAACGATCCGTGTTCTAATTTGTTTAGTCTTCACGCTGTACACAATAGGGTTCATCAGGGGTGGCACCAAAAGGTAGACGTTGGCCATGAGGATGTGGACCACTGGTGGCGCACTTTCCCCATACCGGCGGATCATAGAGAGGCCAATCATGGGTGTGTAAAAGGTGACCACGGCACAGATGTGGGAGACGCAAGTGTTCAGGGTCCGCAGTCGCTCCACCTTGGAGGCAATGCTCAGCACCATTTTGAGGATCATGATGTATGACGCCATGAGCAACACAGAGTCGACAGCCATGGAGGAGAGCACCACCATCAAGCCATAGATGCTACTCAATCTCCTGTCAGAGCGCACCACCTTCAGAATATCCTGGTGCAAACAGAATGGATTGGAGAGCACGTTTGTTCTTCCGTACTGCATCCTCTTCAGGAGGAAGGAAGTGGGGAAGACAAGGAAGGCAGCCCGGAGGAGAACCCCCACCCCAATCTTGATGATGGCGTCGTTGGTCAGGATCATGGTATATCTCAGTGGGTTCCGGATGGCCACCAGGCGATCAAAGGCCATGGAGAGCAGAATGCCTGACTCAACGATGGAGAAGGTGTGGATGAAGTACATCTGGACCAGGCAGGCGTCAAAGGGGATCGGGCGGCGGTTGAACCAGAGGACACTCAGCACAGTGGGCAACGTGGCAGAAGACAAGCCCAGGTCTGAGAGGGCCAGCATGGAGAGGAAATAGTACATGGGCTCATGGAGGGTCGGGTCTGTCCAGATCATGAAGAGGATGGTGCAGTTCCCAGCGATGGACACCAGGTACATGGAGCAGACGGGGATGGAAATCCAGACGTGGAATTTTTCCAGCCCAGGGAAGCCCGTCAGGAAGAAAGCTGGGGGACCAAGAGATGCATTGGAGGACAACATGGTAGTCTTCCGTGGAGCTCCCTCTGGAAAGAAAACAAAATGTTGTGGTTATTTTGGCAGCCCGGTCCTACCTTCTGGATTTGATACTCCAGCCAAACAAACGTGTGAGCATCAGAGCCCGAATAAAAAATAAAGGCATAGGCATCTTCCTCCCCACCCCCAAAGCATCCAAAAGTCTGTTCCCTGACCACAAATATCTCCTGCTCTTGTCTTTTGGGGAGGGGGACCATGGGTCAGTGGGAGAACATCCGCTTGGGATGCCCATGGTCCCAGGTTCAGTACCCAGAGGCATCTCCAGTTTAAAAGGGACCAGGCAGGAGGTGATGGGAAAGACCTCCGCCTGAATCCCCGGAGAGCTGAAAGAGGGGCCGTGGCTCAGTGGCAGAGCCTCTGCTTGGCATGTAGGAGGTTCCAAGGTTCAATCCCTGGCAGCATCTCCAGTTTAAAAGGGACCAGGCAGGAGGTGATGGGAAAGACCTCTGCCTGAGACCCCGGAGAGCTGAAAGAGGGGCCGTGGCTCAGTGGCAGAGCCTCTGCTTGGCATGCAGGAGGTCCCAGGTTCAATCCCTGGCAGCATCTCCAGTTAAAAAGGACCAGGCAGGAGGTGATGGGAAAGACCTCTGCCTGAGACCCCGGAGAGCTGTAAAGAGGGGCCATGGCTCAGTGGAAGAGCCTCTGCTTGGCATGCAGAAGGTCCCAGGTTCAATCCCCTGCATCTCCAGTTGAAAAGGACCAGGCAGGAGGTGATGGGAAAGACCTCCGCCTGAGACCCTGGAGAGCTGTAAAGAGGGGCCATGGCTCAGCGCCAGAGCCTCTGCTTGGCGTGCAGAAGGTCCCAGGTTCAATCCCCGGCATCTCCAGGACCAGGCAGGAGGTGATGTGAAAGACCTCCGCCTGAGACCCTGGAGAGCTGTAAAGAGGGGCCATGGCTCAGTGGCAGAGCCTCTGCTTGGCATGCAGAAAGTCCCGGGTTCAGTCCCCGGCAGCATCTCCAGTTAAAAAGGACCAGGCAGGAGGTGATGGGAAAGGCCTCCGCCTGAGACCCTGGAGAGCGGCTCCCAGTCTGAGTAGAGAATACTTACCCTGAAGAACTCTATTTCAGAGAAAGGCAGCTTCATGTGTTCTGGTGCCTACTACCTGTCAGAAAATGTTCAGCCAGAACACCTTTGCCATTTGGGTTGTGATGTTTGCCTGTCACAGGAGAAACTGCGGACCAGGCAAGAAGCCCTCTTGAAGGGTCATTTCCGAGGGCAAGAGGCCTTTGACTGAGAACCTGACTGGCCTCCCTCCTGTAACTCTCCTCTTCGGTGGACTTAGCAGAAGACGGTCAAAAGGAAATGGGTTCCTGTGCGCCTGACCCCCTTGAGCCTGGGAAGGAGCGCTCAGGACAGGAGGACCTCGCAAAAGGACATGTTTCTTAACGCCTCTGCGTCCTTTCCCAGGATGGCAATTCCCCTGCAGAGATGAGGACAGGACTTTGCTCTGCAGGATGGTAGCAGAGATGGAAACAGCTTACTTGGGGTCTGAATTTAGACTGAAGAATTTGCTAGACTCATAGAATCCTAGAGTGGGAAGGAACCTCCAGGGTCATCTAGTCCAACCCCCTGCAGAAGGCAAGAGGCCTTGCAGGTCATCTAGTTCAACCCCCTGCACTCTGCAGGAGCAGAGCCGAAAGAGAGCCCTACAACAGACCCGAAAGAGGGTCGTCCAGCCTCCTTCACTTGAAAACACCCAGCGAAGGAGCCTCCACCACCTCCTGAGGCAGACTGTTCCACTGCTCAACTCTCTTACCGTTAGGAAGTTTCTCCTGATATTGAGCCGGTATCGACTCCCTTGTAATTTCCGCCCATCGGATCTCGTCTTGCAATCCAGAGCCAGAGAGAATAGATCTGCTCCATCTTCTACACGACAGCCCTTCAGATACTTGAAGACTGCAATCGTGTCCCCTCTAAGCCTTCTCTTTCCCAGGCTGAACATACCTTGTCATCAATTGCAAAACAGTCCTGGGTGTTGGGATAGAGAGCAATGTCTCCTCCCATACGAAGAAGATCCTCAAGCTGGCAGCAAAATCTAGCTAGGCAGGATGGTGGGAGGAGGACCTGCCTTCTGAAGGGGCTTTTCCTTGTCTGTCCGCAGAATGCTCCTCTTAGGCTTTTCTTCCACAACAGTCCAGAACTCTCTCCCTGCAAATAAAGCAGCCTGGCTTCTCTCTCCTGTTAGTTCACAAATAAAGCTTTCCTTCCTCTTAGTCAGCCCAGTGTCCCTTAGAGGCACTCTGCCAACACCCGGTGCATCCCAGAGTTACATCATCTGTGCTAAATCTGCAGCCTAGACGCGCACATCCGTACCTGTGAATCTGGACACTTTAAGGCATGGGATACGAAGCCAACGGAACTCACTGACTTCCCCTCCAGTGGGAGGAGGAGGACCCGGATCAAATCCGTTCAGGAGGTCTTTCTTGAGTGCCTTGTGAGTCAGCCTCCGGTTCTAAAAGGAGGAGGCCTCCACCTGCCGATCTCTGCGCACGGACATATGGCTGTGATTCTACGAGTGCAAGAGCCTTTATGTGTTCCCGGGAACCCTCCACGGGACTTCAAGGCTTACCTCCTCTGGGAGCTGCCCCCCCCCCGGGAGCTCCCCCCCCTCCCCGGAGTTGCCAAGTGGCAAACTTTACCCAATGCCCAAAGCCCAGGCAGGACCGATCACTGTTGCAAAACCTTCAAAAGTGGACACGTGGTTGGTTGACACCGTGGTTGTTGTTTTTAACAGTTCCTTATATACTTTTGTGTGAGGAGCTGCGGTGGCTCAAGTGGTTAAGACGCTGAACTGCAGGCTGTGGAAGGCCTGTAGTTCAGCAGTTCGAGACCCGAGTGCCGCATGATGGAGTGAGCTCCCATCTCTAGTTCCAGCTCCTGCCAACCTAGCGGTTCCAAAGCAAGACATTGCAAGTAGATAAATAGGTACCACTTCAGTGGGAAGGTAACAGCATTCCGTGCACCTTGGTGTTTAGTCCTGCCGGCCACATGACCACGGAAACGTCTTCGGACAGCGCTGGCTCTTCGGCTTTGAAACGGAGATGAGCACCGCAACCCTAGAGTCGGATTCGACTGGCTTTCGAGCAAGGGAATCCTATGCAGGGAGCACCGCATAGGAACGCATGTCTTTGCATTCTGGGTCTCTCTGTCACTGGCATATGGTGATTGGAAGAGGAGGGGGGGCAGAAGGCCGCATCCTGCTGCTTTGGTTTCCAATGCTGGCGTCAGCAAGCTGCCAAGTATTTTTATGTTTCCTTTTCATGCGCATTCCTTCTAGATAGATAGATAGATAGATAGATAGATAGATATAGATAGATATCCCCTTGCTACAAACCAAGACTGAAAAAATCTCCAGCTTGGCCCATCGTTCCTTCTCAGCTGTGCTAGGGGGCGCTGGTGCACAAAATTTTAGATGCCAGCTCAGAGGTTTCTGTTTCTGCACACAAAGTCCTCTCTCCATTAGAAACAATGGGGGACGGGGCACCTCCTCCTGGGACCCATAGAACTGGACTCCCTGGTTCAATCTTTTTGAAACTTGGGGGGATTTTTGAGGCGAGGCACCAGCAGCTATGCTACAAATTTGGTGCCTCTACCTTCTCTCTAATAATTATCTCTGACAGGTAATGAGCCCTCTGACTGAAAAGAAGTTTATTTAGTCCAGATATCCAGTGAAATCTTGGGTCTCAGTAAAAAAAAAAAAAATCACTGGCAGAGTATCTGCTTGACATGCAGAAGCTCAAAAAAACTCAGTGGCAGAGTATCTGCTTGACATGCAGAAGGTCCCAGGTTCAGTCCCCGGCATCTCCAGTTAAAAGGATCTGGTACAAGGCGATATGAAAGACCTCATCCTGAAACCCTAGAGAGCCATTGGTAGTCTGAGTGGACAATACTGACTTTGGTGGACCAAGGCTCAGATGCAGTATAAGGCATTTCATGTGTTCAATGTTATAGTTTAAGATTTCTAATATTCTTACCAAAGCATTCCCTGAGGGCTAGGAACTTGAGGGCCAGGGCCCTATGGTGTCTCCCAAGAGCCAGTGTGGTATAGTGGTTAGGAGTGCGGACTCTAATCTGGGAGGACCAGGTTTGATTCCCCACTCTTTCACATGCAGCCAGCTGGATGACCTTGGGTCAGCCACAAGTTCTTTCAGAGCAGTTCTCTCATGAGCAGTCCTTGAAAGAGCTCTCTCAGCCCCACCTACCCCGCAGGGTGTCTGTTGTGGGGAGGGGAAGGGAAAGGGATTGTAAACTGCTCTGAGACTCCAAGTGAAGGGTGGGGTATAAATCCAATCTCCTCCTCCTCCTCCTCCTCCTCCTCCTCCTCCTCCTCTTCTTCTTCTTCTTCTTCTTCTTCTTCTTCTTCTTCTTCTTCTTCTTCTTCCCATGCCGCCTCTTGTGTCCATGACACGGGCAGGAAGCCAATGCCCCAAGGAGAGTAGGCATGAGGCCCACCCATCCATGTGCCGCACAGAGAGGTATGCAACGTGGCAGCCCACAGGCCCCTGCCAAAGAATGGACGTTTGCATTCATCAGACAAAACCTTGCTCTTTTGAGCAGCTGCCGAGGCATGAGGGGGGTGGCAGGCAGCCCCTCTCTGCATCTCACCCCCTGGCCCAGTGTTTGCTCAGAGGGGAAGGGGGCGGAGCCAGGGCCAGCTGGGGAAGATCACTTCCTTCCTGCATCAGATAATCTGATCTGGCTGTTTAGGAGCATCAGAGAAGCCATGCTGGACCAGGCCAGTCATAGCGAATAACTCAATACAGGTGTCCACCTTGAGGGCTGAAGTGGCGAAAAGGGCAAATTCTGCACTGAGGATTATCAGGAAAGAGACTGAAAATAAAACAGCTGATTCGTGGTGGGGAGGTCTATCAGTGGCTGCTAACCTTGGTGACTGAAGAGAACCTCCCCATTCAGAAGCAGTCAGCCTCTGAATCCCAGAGCCAGGGGGCAACATCAGGGGAAGGC